GGCCTGCCAAAATTCGTTTTTTGATCGGGTCAAAAAACCGATAGTTCATGGTACGGAGAACTATATATAGAACATGTAAAAAAAATTGATTGTGATCGGATCATTAGTTTTTGAGTAATCACTGCAGCAAATTCGGAAAATGCTCGAGAAAAACTCGTTTAAAGATAAACAGGCAGGCTCCGGTTTTCACTTTCACAAGATTCTCTCGTTTTCGTTTTCAAAAACGAAAATTGGTGCTCCCGTTTTCACTTTCACAAGATTTTTCGTTTTCAAAAACGGGCAAGTTTTTTTTTGTCGAAATGAAAAGTAAATGCCTTTTTCTACATCAAAATGGTTCTTAATTGCAAAAGGAAAAAAATAGTTGACTCCTTGGTCTATTGATGTTCATTTCACATCATCAGTAGGTCAATCTAATTCGTATTTATTTTTTAAATAATTATTTTCTGACCCCACCTTGATTTCATACATAAAATATTTGCCGTCGGCAACAACAAATTTCGTTTTGCTAAAGGCTCGATAAATCTATTGCCAAAGTTATCGTTAATGCTGCCGTACTTGTAGTGGAACGAAACAACCACTTAAAAATACTTATAAATTGAAAACGAAGAAAAAAATATTTGTAAAGAATAGTTAAATAAGCTTCTTATAAATAAATATGATTAATATTCTTTCTTATATGGTAAAAGTGCAGTAAAAAAGTGGTTGAGAATAGTGGAATGAAAGCTGCAAAAAAGGTGGCAGCCCCTTATTGTGGGAAACAGCTGATTTCTGATGGAGGCTTATTTGAACTTTTAAAAATGTAAGTAAGACAACTTAATTTACCGATCGTCAGACATATTAAAAACACATGTGTTGCATCTAAGATGTCTCGATTTTCTTAAATAAATCAATTTCTGCCTTCTTTTGGCTTCAAAACAGGCAATTGAAAATATAAAAGTCATTTTTTCGCGTTGTTTACTTTTGACCAAAAAAAGTCAGCTGTTTGAACAATTCCGATAACGAAACGATGACAAAATGTTTGTGAAAACCGGAGCACCAAAAACGAAAACGTACGTTTTCGCCCAAAAACGAAAACGAGAAAAAAAAGTGAAAACCGGAGCCTGCCTGAAAATGATCGTTTGCACTGTTATGAGAGCGGTTGCTCTTTAAATGTTATAACTCAAAAACTGTTTGAGATATCGATTTAAAGTTTTAATATGTTATTTTTAAAAGTGTAATCTAACGAAATATTTTTTGATTTTTTTAAAACTTCACACTAGTTGTGCTCCTTAATTATCGGGTCTCACGTTGGGCGCCATTTATCTTTATTTATAATAAAGTTCACTTCCTGACTCTACTCTAATTAATACAAAAATAACCAAAAATATCAGCATATTGAGCCCCCAATAATTGATAGAAAGAGGCAAGCAAACACGATTTGTGGTGAACTTAGTTGGAATTGATCACCCGTTCTGTACCCGCCATACCTTGGTAATGATACGAAAGTTTGGCATTACCCCTAACACAAAATCAAGACGTGTTTTAACTTCGACATTTCCTCAGCATTATGTAATTAGGCAGACTCAGCGATATCCATAAAATAAATTACAAAGATTATTATAAATTATAAATTTTTATTTCCATGGCGATGGGAAATTTTTAAATCATTTTACTCCAGTTTTAATTGTAATTTAAATGCTAGGAAATTCGAGTTCATTCATTTTAAATTTAGCAAAAGCCTAACTCAAGAATGTCAATTTCGATTTTACCCACCAAGGTTTAATTCATTTTCAAACTGTTTTGTAGCTGTGGAACAAGCGTTAGTAAATATATGCAATATATAATATATCTAATATATAAAATTCTCGTGTCACAGTTTTTGTGACCTTACTCCTCCGAAACGGCTATATCGATTCTCATGAAATTTTGTGAGCGTATTGAGTAAGTCTGACAATTACCCAACGTCAGTTTTTCATCCTCTTAAATCGTGTTCGACATACCAAAAATCGCATATAAAGTGAGTTTCTACCTCATCACACTGACAAAAACACGCTACCATAGCATTTTTAATCAATTTAAACTGGGGCAAAAATCCTTCATCATTAAGTAAAATCATTAATTCTATTTATGAGTGTTTTGTCCAGTGAGCTATGCCAAGAAAACGCAAAGCGGGTACTTTGAGCCGTGATACAAGTAGATCTCGATACATGCGAAATAGAAGATCCGAAAGAATAGCGCAATTGCATCAAGAAGAGCCAGAAGATACACGAGCTGAGCGCAATGAAGTCAGAGAAGAGCCAGAACTTACACGAGCTGAACGCAATGAAGTCAGAAGATTAGAACAACGACAACCACGCCGTGTCACAGTCAATAGAGGCAGAACAAATGACCATCAACGACAACAGGTACATCGAGCATTTATTCACATCGAGCATAGCATTCCAGTATGAGCCCGATATTGAGTATTATGCTTACTCAAAAGTGGTAATTGGTGCTATGGACAAGGAATGTCCGCATTGTCATGCTCTGAAATTTAAAAATGAGCCAGCTGGGATGTGTTGCGCGTCAGGAGAAGTGCAACTACCAGAAATCGAAACACCACCTGAACCATTGAACGGCTTACTTATCGGCACGGATCCAGATTCTAACGTGTTCCTGAAGTCAATTCGAACATTTAATTCACGCTTTCAAATGACATCGTTCGGAGCAACAGAAATAGTTCGAAATACTAATGCAAATGGTCAAAATTACAATTCTACATTCAAAATTAGAGGCCAAGTTTATCATAAAATGGGCTCACTGCTGCCAATGCCAAATGAACAACATAAATTCTTACAAATCTACTTTATGGGCGGAGAGGATTCCGGAAGCGCACTTGCCAATCGCGTGAATGCACGTTGTGATTATAATAACCTTTATTCATTTTATGCCAGGCGCAATTATAATAACTTAAAAATAATATTTGCCTTTTGTTATTTTTATATTCCCTCATGGTTCACAGCGCTCTAAGTCTAGAACTGAGTAAATTTTGTACAGAAATTATAAAGTCATCTGGTGGCAAAACAACGTTTGCCGGGTCAGCTAGTATAATACCTTCTGTCAAAAAAGTACCGGGACTGGGTTAATAACACTCACATTTTCTATTTATTCATCCAAATTTATTTTGTCGCCTTCAAAGTAGTCCCCATTAGAGGCAATACACATATGCCAGCGATTCTTCCAGTCTTCGAAACATTTTTTATAAGCGTTTTTCGGGATAGCCTTCAACTCCCGTGCCGAATTTTGTTTAATGTCTTCAATGGTGCTAAAACGGGTTCCACGAAGCGGCAACTTGAGTCGAAGAAACAAAAAGAAGTCGCACGGAGCTAAATCTGGCGAATACGGAGCTTGTTCGATGGTATTTATCGAGTTTTTGACCTTGTATTCGTTGACAATGATAGCTCGAAATTCAGCTCTTTTGGAACAAGCCGTGCAGCGACTCGTTTCATACCCAAACGGTCAGTCAAAATGGTACGAATTGACTCGTGAGAGATGTTCAGGACTTGTGCTATCTCTCGTAAGCTGACATGATGATTTTCAAAAATAAATTCCTTCACTGCATCGATGTTAGTGTCGGTGAGAGAGGTGGATGGTCGTCCCGAACGAGGCATGTCTTCGACAATCTCACGACCCTCTTGGAATGCTTTGTACAACTCAAAAGCACATGTTCTCGATAAAACTGCATCACCATAAGCCTTCTGCAACATTTTTAACGCGTCAGTACAAGAAATTTTGTTCGCAACACAAAATTTAAGACAAATTCTTTGTTCAATATAGTTGTTCATTATAAAATTCGGCAAGCAATCAGAACATAGACTGACGTAACCAGCGACTGTAAACAAACTACTTCACAGATCGCGATCAAACTTTACTTAGTAATGCAGAACAGTGTTACCAACATAACAAAAAAAAAATTTCCGAAATCGGTTTAGCACAGGCGTTTTAATTAATCCAGTCCCGGTACTTTTTTGACAGAAGGTATAATATATGTATATGAATATGTATTATTCGTTCGAGGCTGTACACATTATATTAGTTAAAACTAAATATTTCTATTAAGAGTTCATCAAATTACTTAAACAAAGGAAAATTCAAATTCAATTTTAAATTATTTTAAATCTGCAAAACATTGGCAAAATTATCTGACACAAGTGTTAAAACTCAGCGGTGCCAAACAACTGTTTTTCCCACTATAGGGTGATTCGTGTAATGCACTCTTATCTTAATGCTCGCGCATAGACTCACTCCGACATCCGTGACGTCATAATACCCTGCAGTAGCGGTGTTTGTTTGTACTCACGAAAAAAAAGATTACATGTTAGGCAACGGCCATGTGCTAAAATTTATTGGTGGATGTTGTAGCTTAGATGTTGTTCTTCAAACTGAGATGTGGCTGTCTAGGTCGCCGTCCTACAGCTGCTCTGATTTGATCTATAGATTGCCTCTGGGTAGGGAATCCACCAAATGTACATACACATATGTATGTGTATGTGTGTTTGTGTTAGAGCGCGCAGCGCCAAGAATTGTGATTTTAGCAACTTTACCTCCAACCATTATAGACATGTAGACTTTTAGCCTCCTGATCGCTGCACAAAATATGCCGTTCGCAGCCCACTAGCCAAAAATGTTAACTTGGCTGTGGGTGCGGTTCCAAACACGTGGTTGGTTTTCACTCTTGAATTAAATATTTTTTGTCACAATATTTTTACGCACCTACGCACCTGGCGATAGAAGATCAAATCGGCCGAATATTCTAGCAGCGTGGCTATTTGTACCTTAACTTTAAGGGGACTATTCCTGAGTGCGAGACAACTATACGGTTTAAGCTGGAGCAGTATAGTTGGTCTAAAAGCTTGCACTCTCTAGCTTGCTTAACCCTTAGCTAACCTAATAATTGAATTCCTTATAGAATTAATTTTATTTCATCGTTTAGATTGGAATTGTTTTCTAAAAACTACCATCAAACATTTTTTTCTTTTCAGGAAATTATAATTATCAAAACTACAAATCGTCAACAAAAAGTCGTTGAGAAAGGACATTAAAAACACTATGAAGTTTATTATCGAAATATTAAGACTATTTGTAAGGAAGCCATCTTCTGGTGAAACTTTTCGAGCTTGGATACTTTCTGCTCTTATGGTACATGGAGCAGTAGCCGGCAACCCAGATGCAAAACGCTTATACGATGACCTTTTGAGTAACTACAACAAATTAGTTCGTCCTGTTGTTAATACCACAGATGTTCTAAAAGTTTGCATAAAATTAAAGCTTTCACAGCTTATAGATGTGGTACGTTTAAAAAAAAATTAAGCATGTATTCTTTTAAATGTTATATTTAAATTTTATTTGAGAACTAACTTCAAAAAGATTGTAAAACAGGATAGTCATAATCCTTTTTAGGCTTATAAATTCACAAAGACGATATCGAAATAGGGGTGGTTGCATGGGTCGTGCCCATGCACCTCGGCAAAAGTTGCGCTCAGTTTTAAACCTGTCCGACGTGTTTTTTTGTCTGAAAATCCTATTTGAAATTATTAAATTGTGTCAAATATTTGTTTATAATTATTTTCCTCTACATAATTTATAATTTAGGCCAGAAGTTTGCAACGCAGTGAAGGAGACACCTCAGACCCCATAAAGTATATATATTCTTGATCAGCATCACTATCTGAATCGAAATATGTATGTACGTCTGTCCGTCGGTCCGTCTGTCTGTTTCTATGTAAACTAGTCTCTCAGTTTTGAAGCTATCTTGCTGAAACTTTCTCAAAAATTGTGCAGTTTTTGCAAGCAGTATATAAGTCGGATCGGACCGGATCGGCCGACTATATCGGATAGCTCCAATACAAGAGAATGAAATAAAAAAATCTTACGCCGTTGTTTTTTACCAGATCGACTTGATTTCTTCCATATGGCATTTTATAACTACTATTGAATTTCGGATTAAATTTTATCAACATCGGACAACTCTATCATATAGCTGCCATAGGAAAGATCGAAAAATAGATATAGAATTAATGGAAATAAATTGATAACATTTTTTTTATCCCACGAGCATGAGTTTTTGAATATCAAGTTTTTTAACAACCCTAATATTGAGAAAAAGTTTCATAAAAATCGGACAGCTATATCTTATAGCTACCATAGGAAAGATCGAAAAATCTATATAGAAATAACGGAATATAAAGTTTTCTAACAACTCTTGAATTACGAATTAAATTTGATCAAAATCTAACAACTATATCATATAGCTCCGATATGATCTATAGTCGAAAATATGGAAAATGAACAGAAAAATCGTCTTAGCTTCGATGTTGTTTAGCCTTTATGTATTTTGTTCGACATATTTAATGACTGCAAGGGTATATAAGCTTCGGCAAGCCAAAGCTTCCTTTCTTGTTTTTATTGAAATACAATTAATTTAAAAAGTTACATTTCGAAACCTTGCTTACCGTCTTTCTTTTACAACAAAAAAAAAAAGTGGTCTAGATTCTTTTAATAAACTAATAACAAAATATCCTCTATAAATAAAAACCTACCCTGCAAATATGCTTAAGATGCAAACTTGGCTGCAAACATGGCTAATTTTCTTAGAACAACAATGTTATATGATAACATTTCCACTATTTTTATACCCTTGCAGAGCAAAAGGGTATTATAATTTTAGTCAGAAGTTTGCAACGCAGTGAAGGAGACACCTCAGACCCCATAAAGTATATATATTCTTGGTCGCGTCTACACTACGAGTCAAACAGTGCATTTTGTAAAGGTATCGTAAGGGAAGCGTCGATGGTGCTAGCTGCAGAACCGCTGGGAACCTGAGTGATTTTCAGGTGTTCTCGATTTGTTTTAGAGCAACTGTGATAAAGCTGTTCTTCATTTATATTATATTATTATATTTGCTCTTTTAAAACGGATTTTTAATAAAAGACATTGACAATGTGTTTAATTTTTTTTAATTGATTTGTATTTAATTGTACATTCTTCTTTACAGAACCTTAAAAATCAAATAATGACTACCAATCTTTGGGTTGAGCAGGTAAGTGACGTATATAGTTTTATGTTAACATTTACATTTAGTTTTTATTACTTTCTAAAAATTTAATTTATACGCAGTAAACTATAAAAAATACAATAAAATTGTTTTTTTTTTTTTATTTTTATTATTTATAATGGCCCAAATATTTTTTTAAAGCATTTTTTTTAACCAACAAAAAAAGAGGTTTTAAAGACCGAAAAAATGGCTATGTTTGATTTTTTTTGCGGCGAAATGAGTAAGTTTATTTTATTGGGCTTAATTAGATGTTATTGTTCAACTTTTGAAGAAAATTAGAAAAAAAATTATTAAACAATATTTAGAAATAAGCCTGTGGCTAATAATCTTCCCAAGCGCCTTAATAATACAACCAATTGTTTATAATGTTCATATATGTATTAGGTTGTCAAAAAGTCTTGCGGTATTTTTATTGACTTTTCAATTGTTCATAAAATTGGTTACAATAATGCGATTCAAGTCAAATATGCACCGTTTTGTTCGATGACGTGTTCCCAACGAGATGCCAACTTCATAATGCCCCTCTCATAGTAGCTCGCTTCCCTATTGGCAAAAAACTCGGAGAGCCAATTTTCACAGGACTCTTCTGTGGCCAACTTCAGACTACCAAGCGCGTTCGCCATGGACAGAAACAGGTGGTAATCACTTGGTGCGAGATCCGGACTATACGGTGGATGCAAAAGAACCTTCCATCCGAGCTCCCAGAGCTTCTGGCGCGTCACTAAAGATGTGTGTGGCCTGGCGTTGTCCTGATGGAAGACAATTCGGCCTCTGTTGATAAAAGATGGCCTCTTCTGCATGAGTGCTGTCTTCAAGCGGTCCAGTTGTTGGCAGTACAGGTCCGAATTGAGCGTTTGGCCATAGGGGAGCAGCTCATAGTGGATTATTCCCTGCCAATCCCACCAAACACACAGAAGAACCTTCCTGGCCGTCAATCCAGGCTTGCCCACCGTCTTGGCCGCTTCACCGCTTTTCGACTACGACCGTTTGCGCCTTACGTTATCGTAAGTGACCCACTTTTCATCGCCAGTTACCATACTCTTCAAAAACGGGTCGATTTTTTTGCGATTTAGAAGCGATTCACATGCGTCGATACGGTCAAAGATGTTTTTTCGCGTCAATTCGTGTGGCACCTATACATCGAGCTTCTTAGTGACTCCAAGCTTCTTCAAATGGCTAATAACAGTTTGATGAGTCATGCCCAGCTCTTGACCGATGCTACGGCTGCTACTATGCCGGTCTCTTTCGACCAATTCAGCGATTTTATCGCAATTTTCGACGACAGGCCTTCCGGAGCGTGGCGCATCTTCGACCACCTCTACACCAGAACGAAAACGTTGAAACCATCGTTGTGCGGTGGAAATGGAAACTGTATCGGGTCCTTAAACTGCACAAATTTTATTGGCGACTTGAGATGCATTTTTGGCTTTATCGTAGTAGTACTGTAAAATATGCCGTATTTTCTCTTTATTTTGCTCCATGATTTCGACGCTTTAACTAACGAACGACTTAAAAGAAAATACAATTAATCAAACACGTGTTAGCGCGTGAAATGAGCTTTCCAAAAAGGTATAGTATGACCTGATGCGACGAATAAAACAAAAACTACGCGCTTTCAGCGCCAACTAGCGAAAATACCGCAAGACTTTTTTGACAACCTAATATTTATGCGCGGTGGTCTGTGCACTCCGGCTCAAAGAAATAGATAAGAAAACAAGTCTAGAAAAGAGTCAAAGTATAGCCTTATTGAGAGTCATAATGAGTCGCTCTCTCGCTCTCAGAGATCATCGGAGGTACAGGCTCTTACATCCCTCCCTTATTGATGAGCTTCAGCTTCAGTCCTTCTCTGGGTGCCGATGTCATCTCAGTCGTCGATTCCATCCGTTCTGATTCATCCAGTTTCCTGAAATTGAAAGGCTGCAGAACGTCACCTGTGCTTGGGGAGTATAAATCTTTTCACATGGCTCACATTTCTTGTCAAAGTCTTTCCTCAGCCTGTTATTTTTATAATGTCTCCCTCTCTTCCTTCTACGACGTATTCGGTGGGAAAAATTACGTTTTTAAGAAAAACCTTGTCTCCCACTTCAACATTGATTTCTTTGGCTCCTCTCCTCTTGTCGGCATATTCTTTGCCTTTCTGTTTCTTCACCAAAACACGGTCTCTTTCTACTGAATCATTGTATTCTCCCATTAAATCTTGTACACCCGGAATCTTGTCCCTTATTACTCGATTGAACATTAATTCCGTTGGTGCAGACCCTGTGGTTCCATGGGGAGTCACATTATACGTCATAACAAATGATTGTATTTCTTCCTTGAAATTGTTCTTGTTGGTGTATGCAATTTTTAGCCTTTTTACTAACGATCTGTTCATATTCTCAACTTCCCCATTGCCTTGAGGCCAATAAGATGGCGATGTTACTTGCTCTATTCCGCATTGCTTACAGTATTCCTTAAATTCTGCACTAACATATTGTCTTCCGTTGTCAGCTTTCAACTTTTTAGGATAGCCTGGTGAAAATTTCTTTCATGGTACTGATTAACGATATTGATGAGATCGATTTTAGAAACTTGTATTCCATATACCTTGAATAATAGTCGATGAAAACTAGGATGTGCTCATTGTTAGGTAACGGTCCCAAAAGGTCTGTGGCTACAAAAATCCATGGTACTTCTGGAAATGTGGTTCGTTTCATAGCAGTGGGGTTTAATGCTTGCGATACCATTATGCAATCTCTGCATGATTTGACGAATTTCTCCGCGTCTCGATCTATTTGTGGCCACCATACCTTGGACCGTAATCGTCGCTTCATACCCGACTCTCCTGGATGGCCTTTGTTTGCCAACGTTAGAATCGCCTGTCTTAACGCCGATGGAATAACTATGCGGGTTCCTCGCATCATAATAGATCCAATAAGTGAGTGTTCATGTCTGAACGGAAACAGACTGTTTGACGATGAAGCGTTCCACGATTCGTCCTGCAGGCACGACATTGCATCTACGATCTCCTCGTCGTTAATGTTTTTCTCTGCAATTTCAGTGATCGGCATAGACGACGGAGTCGCGTTTTCGATTACGTGGAGAATGCTACGTTCGCCTTTCATGTTGTAGCAATATCCTGGGTTTAATTTATACAGTCGAGGTATCCGCAATGTTCTCCTTTCCGGTTTTATATTTGACTATGAATTCGATTCTCGCTGGAGGCTTCGAAGATGGTTAAAAAATGGTCTCTAATGGCTTATGATCGGTTATTAGTTGGAACTCTAACCCATCTAGAAAGTAGATTTTTCCACTGCCCACACTAATGATAGGCTCTCCTTCTCGGTCTGCGAATAGCGCTTTTCGACATCTGTCAGGCTTCAACTAGCAAAAGATATTATTTTCGGTTCATCGTCTTCATGAAATTGCAGCAATACAGCTCCTAATGCAACCGTACTGGCGTCGGCAATTAACTGTGTTTTGTGGTTTGGATTGAAATACTGCAAGTTTGGAATTTTCGCCAGACGGGATTTCGGTTTATCAAACGCATCCTGTTCCGTAGCACCCCAGATGAATTTCTCATCCTTTCTGAGCAGTCGTCGCGATGGGTCAGTTTTATTTGCTAACTCTGGAATAAATTTCCCTACATATGTTACGGGGCCCAGAAAACTTCGAATCTCCTCCTTGTTCTTTGGAGATCGAAAAGATGTGATGGTGTTAATTTTCATTGGATCGGCCTCGATGCCATGATTCGATAAAATGTGACCCAAAAAATTTAATTTAGCAGCTTTGTAGACACATTTCTTTTCATTTAATAATGCGTTGTTTTCTTTTAGAATGCCACGAACTCTTTCCAATGCTTAATCGTGCTCGTCCTCAGTTTTTCCAAAAACGACGATGTCATCTACAGGGTGGGCCATTTAAAGTTGACCCACTTGATTCTTAAAACAAAAACAAAAAAAGTGGAAAATTTTTTTTTTATTCCAAAAATCATTTATTTTGGTCCAAGGAGATTTTTTTACAAATTATTATTAAAAATGATATCACGTAAATGGGCACCTTTAACTCTGACAGCCGAATGCATTCTATTTTCAGCATGACTTTGGTCAATGTTTCAGACGATATGGCGGCTATTTCACGTCTAATGTTGTCTTTTAGTTGACTTAAGGTTTTTGGTTTATTAGCGTATACCTTGGATTTCAAATAACCCCACAAATAAAAGTCTGGTGCCGTCAAATCTGGTGATGTTGGGGGCCAGTCAAAATCACCCGCCCAGGGAACAATGTTCGCAATAAATCGATTGTTGCTCTAGCTATATGGCAAGTTGCCCCGTCCTGTTGAAACCAGAAGTTATCCATGACATTTTCACGAATAATAGGCATCAGAAATTCGGTTATCATTGCTCGATAACGCTCACCATTGACGGTTATCGTGGCTCCATCATTGTCTTCGAAAAAATACGGTCCGATGATCATATTCGCGCAAACACCGCACCAAACTGTAACTGGATACATGACTGGCATTACTTAGATTACCGGTGTTTACAAATTTTGCGTACAAAGACTTAATTGTGTTTTTAACTGGAGCACTTTTAACTTTATTCATTTTACGAAACGCACGTTGGGTTAACACAATTGAGAATTTATTTTCAATGTAGAGCTGAACAATTTGAGCGCGTTCCTTTGGAGTGTATTGTTCCATGGTATCAATTGTCTTCGACTGACTCTTCCAACGTAGTATGACATTTGACGATCTGTCGACGCTGTCAAAAGTTACAGGGTTGCCAAATGGGTCAAATTGAAATGGCCCACCCTGTATGTAACTAAGGACATTTGAGGAGCCTCAAGCCTCCTTTGGAATATCTCTGGTGCCGAGTTGACTCCAAACATCAATCGCTTATAGCGAAATAATCCTAACGGAGTTATAAATGTTGTTATTTCTCGGCTCTGTTGATGTAGCTCGAGTTGGTGGTATGCATCCTTAAGGTCTAGCCTGGAGAAATATCT